TCGGGTCTGTCGTTATTTCGATTGCCGCCGATGGCGTTTTTTAATCTAGGGCTGGCCAGGAAAACAAAGATGGAGACCTCTTCCCGCCGCAAACCTCTCTAATACTCGGAATTCCTCCTCTTGGGCACATACAGACGGAACGGCATGGCAACAGGCACGGTTCACCCTGACTGCCCGGACGGCGTCTCTTATTCAGGAGTCTCTTATCCAGGATCTTGTTTCTCTCTGTCCCCCACTTACGAATGGATCTTGCGGCCTCCCACACGTCTGCAGTCTGCGGGAGGTGGCCGTTCCAGGGGCTGTTTCCGGCGAAGGCGTCTAGGGTTTAGCATTTTTTGGTCGAGGCTGTCTCTTTTCTAGTCTCTCTTTTTTGTTGACGAATGTTTATAATAAGGATGGAGACTGTGTCTGGTCCAGACAGCAAGCGGCCGAGGCCAGAAGGGCTTGGGGAGCGGAGCAAGAGGTTATCACAGTGGAGAGGGGGTGCGTGTTTCCGACGATGGGGAGGGTGTCGGATGTCCTGTAGAGTGGGGATGTCGGGCCCTCCCGTTGGAGGTTGATAGATGGGTAGATTGGGGGAATGGAGATGCATTTTACTGGTTAAGCGCCTGTACTTTTGACCGGAGTGATGCAGGGGAACATGTTGTCTTGATGTCGCCCCTTTAAGGCATGCCGCTACTTGTCTAGGGCTTCTTTCAATTGTTTGAGACCCGACGAGTATACCCACGCCCACAACAAGCATCAGCCGCACATCTCGGAGAAGACGACAAACAGAACAGACAATACGACAAACTGAAGAGGAGAAAAGACACCAAACTGAAGACGAACTTGGCGAGTTATATGGCCTAGGCATGTATATCATATCATTACAGTAGAAACACATGACAACGCCCGCCGTCTCGTAGCATAGTGTATAAAACTCCAGTTCCGAATCCATGCGTCACCCCCTCTACCATTGCCTCCTCCCAAAGAGACACGCACACATACACGCCCACCAGCCGCGCTGTCACGCCATCAAGGGGATCAACAGCAGTGGCAGCACCCGTCCTCAACTTGATACCCATATATCCTGTCCTCGTCTTCTAAATTACCCTCTTCCCCCCCCCTCATCCCGTCACCCATCATGTCAACTTCTGCTTGATAAAAAACGACCGCAGATGCGACAGCTGCCACGTGCACGTCACGCCCAGCACCACCAGCTGGATCAGGATCCACCTCACCACGCGCGCGTTGGTCGTCTCGGACTGGTCGCGGAACTCGGCTTCGCGCTCCTGTGTCCCCACCAGTCAGCACACAAAACCTCCACCAAAAAGGGAAGGGGAAACATACCCGCTGAAACACCTGCTCCCGCCGAATATCCCCCAGCCGCGCATTCAGATCCTTGACCCGCGACGCCAGGTCCTGCAGCTTGCCCTTGTCGGCGCTCTCGATCGCCGACGTCTCGCCGATGGCCACGTCGAGGGTGACGCGGAAGCCGGCGTGGGGGGTCCCGGCGTCGTGCCAGGACGCGGCGGCGCGCGACGACGACGGCGTCAGGCAGAGCTTGTGGTCACCGGCTTCGGCGGCCGTGAAGGTGAATTTGCCCGTGGCGCTGCCGCGCTGGGAGACGACGCGGTGGTCGTTGTCGAAGACTTCCTGTTGGGGGGGTGGGCTAGGTTAGTGTCATTGTGCTGTGAGGGGCGTCGGGGTGGGAGGGGGGTGGTTGTTGGGTTGGGAGGGCAGGGGGGAAGGGGGGCCGTACGTCAACGGAGATGTAGACGCTGATGCCGTCGTTGGACTGCCAGCTCTGGAGGGTGTTGTCCCACTGCTCGGCCTTGTAGTGGCCGACCACGAGGGTGTCGTGCGGGAGCTCTTCGAAGAAGCACTTGGGCCCGCCGTCGGGGTCGACATAGAAGTGCAGGGCGTGGGCGACGGACGAGAGAGCCGCGGCGAGCGGGAGGAGGCCGGCTCGCATGGTGGCGGTTGGGGGGGGAGGGCAATTGGGGAAGGAGTGGTTCGATTCGCGAGAGGGAGGGAGTGGTCGTCGTCGTCGTCGTCGTGTTTTTTGGTATGTGTTGAGGAATTCGTGGTGTTTGGGCGCGACACGGTTCACCGTTCCCACAATTAGGGGGAGCGCATGAGCCGGAGCCAAGCTGCGAAGCTGCCACGTTCAGGTAAAAAAAGGTGACAGGGGGGGTTTAGGGAGGATCACGTGCCGCAGGTTCTGGCCATTGGAGCTTTTGGCCTTGGCGCGACAAATGGAAAATCGCGTCTGGCCGAGAGGCCATCATCACCACTCCGTCAATCGGCGTCACCAAAAAAAGTAGAGGAATCGTCGACAAACGGGCACCGTTCGATCGCTCATCCCCGATAAAAATTAAGGAAACAATGCTGCATCGGCAGAATAGCAGATTCCCTTTTCCTTGATACCCGGTGCTGTCGCCTTGCTACTTTTCGTCTGTTCGTCGCCGCCGCCAAAGTGGGGCCCCCCGTGCAGCCGAGTGACGCTTTCGACGCGCAACCCGCGACCCGACGACGACAGCCATGGCCTCGCACGACCTGCGCGACGTCCTCAACCTCCCCTCCTCCGACCCAGCCCGCCCGGCGAAGCGGCAAAAACCCTCGGCCCCCCGCCCGAACCTCAAAGGCCTCGCCCGCGAGGTCCAAAACCTCGGCGGCGACAACCCCATCTCCATCGTCCCCGACGTCTCCGTCTTCAAGAAGCGCCGCCACGCCAGCCGCAAGCCCGCAGCGCGATGGATACTCAAGCCCTTTACAAACTCGGCGAGGGACGACAACGGCGCCCTGGTGCTGCGGCACTGGCGGAGGAAAACGGACGACGGAGCCCCGCCTGAGCCGGTGCACGACGGCGAGGGGGGGCAGCCGGCGGACGAGGGAGCCGATGCCGCCCCCGACGCGGACGAACCGCTGGAGGATTCGGCGTTTGCAAAGTACAATGTGCGGGTGCAAGTACCACAATACAGCGAGGACCAATACACGGCCAACCTCGAGAGCGACGACTGGACACGGGAGGAGACGGACTACCTCATGCAGCTGGCCAAGGACTTTGACCTGCGGTGGCCCATCATCTGGGACCGATACGACTACGTGCCCCAACCACAAACAGGCGAGGCGGATGCCAGCGACCCCAGCACGGCCATGGTCCCGGTAGCGCAATCCCGAACGCTCGAAAGCCTCAAGGCGCGCTACTACGAGGTGGCGGCCAAGATGATGGCGGTACAGAAGCCCGCCCAGTACATGACGCGCCCCGAATTCGAGCTCTACGAGATGATGCAGAGCTTCGACCCGGCGCAGGAGCGCGCCCGCAAGGAGTTCGCCCTCAACACCATGGCGCGCTCCCAGGACGAGGCCCGCGAGGAGGAGTCGCTGCTCCTCGAGATCAAGCGCATCCTCGCCCGCACCGAGCGCTTCAACGAGGAGCGCCGCGAGCTCTACCACCGCCTCGACTACCCCGCCACCGACGCCGACATCAACTCGTTCAAGACCTCGGCCGGCCTGCAGAACCTCCTCCAGAACCTCATGACCGTCGACAAGTCCAAGAAACGCAAGAGCCTCATGGGTCCCATGCCCGGCGCCGACGCCAGCCCGCAGACCGCCGTCCCCGGCAGCGCCGTTTCGGAACCCCCCGGCCACCACCGGCGCGAGAGCATCGCTGCCTCGGTCACAGGCGGCGGCGGACACCGCGACTCCCTCGGCGGGACCCCGGCGACCCCCATCGAACCCACCTCCGCGGCAGCAGCCGCCGCGGCCGCCGCCAACAAGAAGAAGGGCGCGCCGCCCCCGGAGCGCCGCAAGCTGACCCCCATCGAAGAGCAAACCTACGGCGTGACGTACCACGACCGGCTCGGCAGCGGGCCGACGTTCCGGTACGAAAAGATCAACAAGCTCTTCAGCCACAAGTCGGGGCAGCAGCAGCAGCGCATCAACAACGTGCTCACCGAGCTCGACGTCCCCGTGCGCCTGACCATGACGACGGCGGCCGTGTCGGCCGAGTTCGAGACGCTGTGGGCCGCCGTCATCAAGCTCGTCGACCTGCGCAAGATTCACGACAAGGTCGACGCGGAGATCAAGGTGGAGGAGGCGAAGCGGGCGGAGGTGGCGAGAAGGGCGGGGGTCAAGGTTGAGCCGGACGCGGCGGGGGAGGCGCCGCAGGGGGATGCGGCGCCGGTGGATGCAGCGGCGGATGGTGGGAAAGGGGGGGAGGAGGAGGAGCAGGCTGGCGCGGGGGAGAATGATAGAGTAGGGGCGCTCGCGAGGCCGGGGAGCAGCGGGGCGCATAAGAGGAGTGCGAGCGTGCTCAGCACGACGAGTGAAAAGAGCACGAAGAGGCAGAAGAAGTAGTGGGGATGGGGGGGGGAAGGGGGTATGGTTATGGAGAGGGGGCTACCAACTTCTCTACCGATACACACACGCATCTAGACACTTGTGTATAACAGTGTATGAATAGCATTGCGTTCAAAGTGCGGCACCTGAACTTGAACGGGATAACTTTGCCGATAACTGGCTCTAGTGGGACAGAGAACAACAGATTGAGCTGTTCTTGTCATGGTGCTACTGCCACCGACGCCATTTCCCACCGCTCTCGAAAGGAAGGTTTCCAACACATTTTAAATACTTTCACCACCTCTCTCCGCCTCCAGGCTCACATGTATCTCAATGCATACCAGGTCCGTTAGCAAGTCGACCAGTCTCTACTCTCCATTTACTATCCACCATTCACACCAGCTACCAACCAACCCATAATCAAAGTTGGCATCCTCGATATGCATCCAAGTCCCCATTCAACAGAACATCCAACAACCCAATGACCCCGTCGACAACTCCAGATCCCGCTCCAGACGACACTTCACCTCAACGCACATCCTGACTCGCATCGATTTCACTAACCCTAACCGTATTCCACAAAACGCAACTTCCACGTGGATGGACCATCAATCCCAGCCAGCAAGCAGCCATCAGGCGCATTCCTACGTGGGCCTGCAATCCACCAGCAGCCGCAAGGACCGCTAGCTCAGTGGTAGAGCAACCGGCTGCAGCTGTTCCAATCTGATAGCTTGGAAGAGTGGTTCCGGTAGGTCTCGTGTTCAACTCACGAGCGGTCCTTTTCTTTTTGGCATTTCTCTCCCCTCATGTCCCAATGGCGGCCTCTCCATCCCCTCCCCTCCACAGAGAGGAACCTGCCCGGGGGGGGGGCGGGTGACGACAAACCTGATCTCATTCAACATCGATAGGCACCAGAAGCCGGCAAAAAAGGCAAGGAACATCACATCCACCTTCCTCCCCTTCTGCCCTGAGTAGAAAAGGGGGGAAGCAAAAAGCAATGCTCATACCAGGGATCGAACCTGGGACCTGTCGCGTCCTACCTCTGACTCCCTATCTAGGTAGGGAAGCTAAGAAGGTGTGAGGCGAACGTCATACCACTAGACCACACGAGCTTGTTGTCCATGGGGACAAAGACCCTCGGAGGGTCTCATGAAGGGGTGGGGGCGGGGGTTGTTGGCTGGGTGGATGGTGAGTGTCTCCGCGGACATGTCCACATGGTCTCCGCCTCCCATCTCATGCCTCCCTGGCGGACACCGTTGAGCAAGTTCATGAGGAGTCATAGGAGTGTCCTCCCCTCGTGTCAATCTTCATCCCTGGTGAGACCCTTGATCCGGAATGGGATCTGGTCCAAGGCGAGGCCGCCTTCGTTGGCCGTCGGTTTTGATGATCATGGTCCAGGAATAGCACCAGAGACCCTGATCTCGAATACTAAGCGCGGATGGGAATGAGAAGGGGTGATCGATGTGACGGCGTTCATGTCAAAACAGAGAAGGGAATGACCTCGGAGTTGTCAACCGCACAAGTGGTCGTGAAGGGAAAGGGGCGTTTGTGTGGGGAAGGGATGGGGCCCGTTGGAAGGGCCCATATGGCAACAACCGCCAGATGTTTTGCGAACGGGGGGGATCGTGAGGGGGTCAAGATGAGAGGGCGTTCAGATCATATCCATGCAGCGGTAGGAAGAGTTTCGGATGCCTTGTCATTGTCTATCGGCCGGCGTCGCGAAATGGGTTGTTGAGGCAGGGGAAAAGGGGGGGTCTCAATGGAAAGCGTCCTGGTGAGGCGAAGATGAGGGAATGATTTACATTCATCTCCTCAGGTTGGGCCAACAGTGGTCAAGAGACTTCCATGTGAGATCTATTTCTGGATTTTGGCACAGAATCTGCATTCCAACAGTGTGGAAGCCTTCTTTCTGCAAGGGACCTCGAGGAAAGCATGTCGAACTCTCTCCCTCATGGACACAGCCGCTCTCTATTTGCCAGGACGTCAAGAAAACCTACGGGCTAAGGCAGATCTGCAACTCCGATCGCAAGATGCAGGCTGCTCATTTCTATGAATAGATTACTGTGGCCTCGGCAGAGCGTCCCGCGGCCGTGAAGATTACGCATCTTCCATGAGGGATGTGACTCCCCCGCGGCCTGCAGAGAAGAAGTCGTGTCGAAGCCAATGGCAGCGCCCAGAGTATAGAAACTGAAGGCAGCATTCTCCCTCGACAGGCGCTGCTGGTAGGTACCTGGGGGGCCGAGGGGGCCGCGACGTTGAGAGTGGGCCAGGCCATATGCAGGTACAATCCGGGGATAGCCTACCAGGGAGAGCATGTATCGGTACCTGGGTGTGTCTTGAGCCCTACAAAGGTACCGGGACATGTCGAGTACGAGGTATGGGGTATTGCATCTGGAGATCTCGGTCCCGGGTTATGATAGGCATGTTTGGCGCAGACGCCCAGGGTAAGCGCAAGGGCGGCAAGGTACGAGGAGGGAGGGGGGTAAACATGGCGGCAGGCGCCTCACAAGGGTACAGAGCGGAGGCAGACTTCAGGTGAAGAGTCGGCGGCGTGTATATCTTCAAGGTGAAGGCGAGCGTTGCCGCAGCCGCTGGCATCGAACCGCCAGTGCCAATCCCATCCGCCGGCGCTTCCATCGAGCGAGCCCATCGCGAATCGCGGCCCCCGGTCCGAGCAGGGGGTGTGGCACGGGTTCGAGCTCGGTGAGGCGGGATGATATCACCGTACGCGTCCCGGCAGCGTGGGAGCTGCCGGGTTTCGAAACAAGGCTTCATGACAGCCTTATAAATAGCAATGGTGCGGCGGCAAGGGGAAGTCGGCCTCTCGGGGGATTTTGCCCAATGCTGGCGTTTGTTTTTTAGCAGCCAACAGCCAATGACAGGAGAGGAATAACATCTCCATGTTGAGGTAAGCGCCACGAGGCGCCCGAAGATGCAGAGCCTCCATGACCTGCATCAGTCCGGCGCCAAGGGCCGGTTGCGCAATCGTCCAGCTCCCGTCAGGCGGGCGGACGGGGGCTACGGAGCCGTACAGGCCAATGGGTCGGTCGGCCTGCCGTCCGTCACGGCTCCGGAGGGCAGCTATTTTAAGGTGCTGGGTACGGCGTTTCGCCCGGACGACGAGATGAACTTGTGAGTGGCAGCCGACTGCGTGGAGAAGATTGAGAATAACCTCGCAGGCCTGTTGTTTCTTCCTCCAGACATGCAGACAGTTTCTCTGCGGCCTGGGCGGGCGATGCAGGTTCCCGGTAAGGTCGGTGGCCTGATGAGAGCGGGCAGGTTTGACGCGGAGGTCATCGGTGATCCTGAAATAGCCTACAAGACGTCAACGGTGGGACCTGGAACCCTTCTAGAAGCACCCTCACCTTGGCGTCCCCCAAGCACTGAGCAGCGAGCACTGAGCACCACCTGGAGCGCCTGGCGCTGGTCGTCTTTAGCGCCGAGCACCCTGGAAGCGCGGCGCCTGCAGGTGTGCTTGGGCGCCAATGAGCGGCTCTCGCTCTGATTCGCCCTGGCTCGTTGCCAGCGGGGATGGGCACAATATGGTGGTAAAATTGGCGATGAGGATATCGTGTTGTCATCCATGAGGTGTGCGATGAATTGAAGCGGAATGAGGGATTGAGAAAAAAATATCCTTCTCTTTCCATCTTTGGAAAGATACAGAGAGGTCAGTCAGCATCTGGATTCCATAGGGCAGGCGCGAAGCGACATTAATGTCCCCACCAATTTCGGCAGCCGGCAGCACCACCTGAGAGCAGGCTTTAGTCTAGGCAAGCCTGAGGTTGGGACATCATCTTTCTGTTCCACCTTCCATCTTCCATCTGTACAACTCAACCGACCACGTTTCCCAGAAAGAAGTCTTTTGGCGTTGAGGTCGTGTCTTCGTCCCCCTCCACCAAACGACGCCAACACGGAGACACTGTACCTCAAGTAGGACCACTGGAGACCTCGCTTTCCGCCCATAGATTGAACAAGGGCGTTGGGCCCTCCCATCTTCAAATGCCCACCATGGACGCCAACAACCAACCTTCCGCGGGTACCGACCTCTGTTTTGCTTTATTTTACCGCAGACCAGTAGACACTCGCTATTTCGCTCTGGCAGCAGGCCAAGGAGTTTGCTCGTCCGCAAATGGAACTGGCCATTTTTGGCAACTCTCAGCTTGCACCTCCCATGTCGTGATGCATTGTTGCGACTCCAGACCGGGATATCCAACTGGCCAGCCGCCGCTCTGATTTGCTGATACACCATCGCGTCCCAGGCACTGCGTAACTGCAAGAGCCCTTCTTTGGAATCCGTGCTTGCTACCGACCTGCCTACACCGCCTCGGCCGGCTCTGGTAGCGATAGCTTGCCACCCACCCAGCCCACCACAAGATCCAACCCTTGACCAGATGCTGGGACCGTCGGCCATCACAGAGAACGGCAAACAAGCACCCAAGTCCGTGTCGAGGGCTGGGATGACTCGTAAGACGGCCGCCTCCGCTGGGCCAGCGGAGCATCGAGTCCCGTTCTTCACCCATCAGGGCCATGTTGTCGGAGGCACTCGCCGGCTAGCACTTGCTCACACGTGTGCCACTCTCCACAGACCAGCCGAGAATCCTCATGCTGACCCGGTCCCAATCTCGCCGCGTCCAACCAGCCGCCAATATCTTCAGCTTGATGGGAACCCTTTGGCGCAGCAGCAAATCGCCGTGCTAACCGCGCTTCAGGATCCGACCACGGGATGGAACACGCCGTGACGGGGTGCATGCCGTCCTGCATCTCATCGTGTTTCTAAGAATGGAATCACCGGATCGACCCCCTCGGCCTGTTGGACCCTCCCGTTCGGTCGTTATCTTGATACGACCACAGGGGATATATCCTCGACGTCGTTCCTCTGCTCCCATAGGCCCTGGCCCTCCCTTTTCTGCCCAATGAGACGGCCCAGCCGGGACGAGTCCCCCCTTTTCCACTACCGCAACCTCAGGCAATGGCCTGCGCTACACTAGTTGCAGGTTTGTTGCTCTCTCGCACAGCACGAAGGGGGGGGGGCATAGACCGCCCGCGCCGACAGCAGGCGGCGTGTGGCTACCACAAGCGCTCCGCTCTCCCCATCGAGGAGGAGCCAGCAGGATCGAGGGTGGAGGCAATGCGACAACCGCCGCGTCTCGTCACGACCACTGACGGCGATATGTATATTAAAGACTCAAGCATGAAGATTGCTACCAGATTGCGGGTATTTGTTGCTAAATTTATCCTCTACATCGGCAATCCCTGGCTCGGCCGCCGCATGGCCGTCCGGGGGGGGGCCGTCATTTGCTGGAAGGGGGGGGCTTCTCGACGACGATGCTTGTTGAGCCTGGGTTTCATCTTTTTGCCCTTGCCAGTGGCACCTGTTCGGCGGTGGGTGCGGCGGGCTGTGTGGGTTGGGGCGACGGACGGGGTTTGGCACTTGGCCCTCTTTGGACAACAGCCCGCAACCCGCATCTGGGGAATTCAGCCGAGGCGTTCGTTTCTCCTGGTTGCTCATCAACACGCACAGAGTAACCCCCCGGCTGGAGTCGCGGCGAACAACACATGGTCCCCGCCTTCGGAATTCTGGTAGCGTTCGGATACGAGGCCGGCCGAGCTGCGTCGCACGGGACTGGACTCTCTCTGACTACGGGGCCTCGGGGGCGAAAGAAGGAGCACGGGAGTGAGGGGCAACGCCGCCATGGCCACATGCGCTGCCGCGACCGCCCCTCTCTGATAGACGCGGGTGCGCGAGAAAGAAGAAAGGTCGCAGCGCCGCGCCAAATTGCATGACTTTGCGAGGTTGACCCCCCCTGTCTCAGGCGCTTGATTGGCCTTCGGCCCGTGGACTCGCTTCGCGCACACAATGGCTCTCACACACCTCTCTTCTTGTGTGTCTTCTTCTCCATCTCTCTATTCTCATCACATCGCACTTGTCGGCAATGCTCTCGTGCCTCAAAGGGCCCGGTGGGGCAAGCGTGTGGGCGGCGTGGTTGGCAAACCAGAAGCACATGGCGGTCGGTTCCGGGGCGGCCAGCGTCTGGGGGCCACCCACCGAGCAGGGGACGCACGCCCCGGGACCGGGGCCGGATAAGCCTGTCAGCTGCGGGGCACCGACAGC